GGTTAGATCTAGCACATTTCCATCTCGGTGGGTGCTTTCTCCAATAGTGCTTAGTAGCTGCATATTATTTTTGCGGGCCCATCCCATGATGAGATTGCCATTACCGTATTGGCGTTCTATTAACGGCTGCCAATGCTGTGAGACTGAATTAAAATCGCCTCCAACTACTGAAGGGCCATTGGAACGCCAGTTTAGTAAAGGATCCAAAGTCCCGCTTGGGCCTGGGGCACGATAAACGTTTGCAAAGGTCAGTCCTGACACCCGCACGAAGAAATAGTCTGACGTCTGAATTGATGACGAAGGTGTAATCTGTGTCGCTTGCAGTCCTTTCCTGACAAAAGTGATGGCGTGTGGTCGTGATCTCGGTACCGTATTTCCGAAGGGTATGAAACTATTGAAGCCAGGGTGGCTTTTCGTAGTGAAATCTCCGTCTTCTCGCAAGGTCCATGGTTCTTGTACCATGACTATGTGTACTTCTGCATCCCAGGCTTGTTGCAGCGCTATGTCCATGTTCGGTCCGCCCTTTCCCACGTTCACTTGGTGAAAGAGAAGGGTGCTATATCTCTGTGATCATATGAGCTTGGTGTATTACTCATTATCATGCATTATTTCTTCTGGTATGTTAATGACCTCGCGGGCCTTACCTTTTTCTTGAGATCTTGATAGTGCTGCCTTGAAATCCATATGCCCTCTCTCACGAATGACTCGTAGCTCTGCTGGTGATCGAGGCGTTACTTGACCGTGATGTCGCCTTGGTCGAGCCATGTAGCTCAAGTGGGTTGATTCGTGCGGCCCAGCACAGTTTGAACACTTGGGGATGTTGACCGTGCATTTTTCTACTTCGTGTGCACTAGAACATTTAACACACCGCTGTCCTTTGACGCAGTTTCTTGTTGAATGGTATCCCCAACAGCGTTGACACTGCTCGATGGGGCGTCGACGGAAAAACGGAATGGCGGGCCCACTCTCGTCGAATAGTCTGAATCTTAGGTTGGATGGAACCTGTTTGAAGTGTATTATCCAGCTAGCAGAATAGCTTCCTAATTTTATATCGTTTGGGCGCACCTGTATCGGTGTGACTCCACAAACTGCCTGGCATTCCGTCTTCACCATTTCACCAGTAACTTCAATCCTTCTGTCTAATGTACGGATGCAGATTGGGACATGAGGGACCATGACGGACGTCCAATCTGAAGCAGGCTCAATTGTGATTTCCTTCTTTTGAAGTGAAAGACCCACACTCAGAATCGACTCCCTGAGTGCATCTGATGCACACTCTATTGCTAGGCCGGACCTAACTTGTGTCATTGCTATAATTGCTGAAGGTGCGACCCCATCTTTTTCAGTGATGAGTTTCTTTATTGTGACAGGTGATAACTTCCGCCACTGATGTTCTCGCCCTATGCGAAGGAAGAGTCGTTAATCTTCTTTCGGGGGCTCTTGTCCGGCTGGTCTTCGTTTTACCAGATTGGCTGGCGGGTCTGGAAGCTTTGCTGCTTTCTGGGCTGTACGCAGCCATGATGCTGCTTGATCTCTCGGGTTTGAGTACGGGGATAAATGTACTGGTACGCGTGTATGGGATGGAAGAATTCGATCCGTGGTGGACTGGTATTGTGTGTGTGTTTATTGTACTACTTGAGTCTATGACTATCTAGCACATTGGGCTCCTCTCTGACCCAGGCCACACCTTGTACAGTGCTCCTATCCTCTTTTGTAACTTCAAATATGATTGACAAATTACCCGTGATGAATAGCCATCCAGCTCAGTTTTTACCCGTGGAATTCAGCCACCTTTTCCACGGAACCTTCTACCAAAAAAAAGAAAGAAAGGTAGCAATGGAAACTTTGTGCGCGGGTAAAAGTCTCAAAAAATCTGCAGCCCAAGCCAGGCGAGGCCTAGACACCGGGACCACATGAGGTGCGCATATTTATCTATATCTCTTCTCGTCGTAACAATCGAAGCCGACTTGATCCAATCCACCATCTCCGTATCGGGTGCTGGGTACGCTCCGGAAACTCTTCGGATGGCATCTCCTCCATGATCAAGGGTTGGTGATGAGTAGGGCTCCGACCCTACCATCCGATGTGATCGTGGTTAGCTTCATGATAGAGGTGATAGGGGGCTGTGTCAAACATCTGTTAGTTTGAAACTTACTGAATATAGTAATGAGAATCATTGGATATTGGGATGACACATTTTCTCGGATTAACTCACTCGACCTTTGATATCTCACCAGCGACATGGTGATCAGAATGTTCAGGATGCTCAAAGCTCCAACTCGAGATCTTTTGATCTCAAACACATGTAATATATTTCATTTGTAATTTTGGAAAAAGAGGAGAAGATATTCTCTCCCTGAAAAAGTTTCAGATGGGCATATAGCATCAGAGCCGGAGAGGAGTTGAGAAGCAGAGATTTCATCAATACAATTTTACTTTACACTTTTTATTTGAATCTCAGTGTCTAATAGGTTTTATTCAGAGATACAGACGATACAGATCGCAAAAGCAATTGGGAATTCTCATCGAGACGAGGACTTTGTTACCCAATCTCGGCTCTGCAGTCTCTACAATGAGAGCTGGAGATTCGAAGGGGACGCCACTTGGCACTTTATTAATAGGCAAGCTCCCGTTTGCCATTAACTCCTTGATTGATCGTTCAAGCGAGATCGTTTTTGGTATAACCGAATTAGATGACTCGCGTGACGATGATAGATCCGACATTGAAGAGAATTACTTGAGTAAAGATTGGCATCTGTTTGCTTTCGACTTTGATTCGGATGCCATTATTTTTGGCTACCTTAGGCATGTAGAACATACTGAGTAATTATGCCGGCACCGCTGCATTGTGTGGAATTCGTCTTGCCAGCTACCCACGATGCTGATACAGCACATTTAAAACGTTTAGAGTACGTGTTTGGCTCACTCTGATTGGTCCGAAGTGTAGGCCTTCATGCACGGGTGTTGATCGCACTAGGGCCTTGACACCTACAATGGGGAACTCTCAGCTTTTTTTTTTTTTTTTTTTGCATTGGACAAGAGAACTCTCAGTAGAAAGCTTAGATAGAGAATCAAGAACAAAGTGACCAACCATTATCTATCTGCTAGCAGATTCAGCCTTTGCCAACAGTACGGCTGCAGGAGATCCAAACCCAAATTTCAGTGTCCCACTGGACAAAGATTACTCTAATTTGTTCCGAAATATTGTGCAACTCTTTACAGTTGACATTTACTTCAGGTCTTGGCTGGATAAACATTTTGGCTCTACTATCGATATATTTTCAAGGCTGCCCCTGCTTTCCTGGACATATAATCATTTGATTTGATTTCATTTAGCCCGTTCAGGTACCCTATAGGCCCATGCAGATTTATTTATCTTTATTTAACGTCTGGCGGATCACGCGTCAAGCGAGTAACCCTATTAAGGCCCATGCAGATGTATCTAGTTATGTAAAACAAAGAGAGATCTTCGTGTGAATGTCACGTGAATCGTCAAAAGATGAAAGCGAACACAAGAATGAATTGATTAGAGATCTCCGTGCTACAAGTCCATCGTAGTACTATAATATCTAATTCTACCCTATTGACGCCCCTGATCATCATTACTAGTCTGACATGGATGCACGCAGATCGTGCTTTCGCTTTTGGACTGGACACAGACTTATGCTTGCATAAGTCTGCTTACAAGTTATAATATTTACACAAGAGGAAACCAAATTCGGTAAAACCTCCCATAACTATCTGTCTCGTGTCTATTGGTTTTCCGAGGGTTTTCTACAGGAAGTGCGTTTATACTGTTCATACAGTGTGAATTCCATCCTTTCCTGATTGCATTGTCTCATATTTTTCTCCAATGCTATTTTTACATCTCCTATAAGCCGGAATTGTTCAAACCAGCCTTTTGCCAGGATCCATTTTGTAATTCTCTCCCTATCATCTGGGCTGTTCATAGCCGCAAATGACTTACCTTTTGTCTTTTGAAGCACCTCTCCTCTTCTCATTTCTCACTGAGGACACACCAAGACCATATGTTTGACATCTTGAAACTGTTATACACACTGAGATTTTGGATTAATCACTCTAGGGACTTTCCTTCGATACAGATAAGAATTGAGAACAATGTGCTCACTTCTTATCTGAACTACAGTATGGCTTTGGACCTTGCTAAGGTTCCGATGGATTTTTGAGGGTGTGTTTCTATAGGTAATACTTGTTCTGCCTGTTGTCTTATTTGTAACAATATCTGCGGCAAATATTACCATTTATTAATGGTATTGAGCGACAGGGATAGGTGGGAATATTCAGGGATTTTAATATTGCCAGTCGTAATATTTCTTCCTGCAGGAAGCCTCGAAAAATTTTGTGGTGAGAAATAGATTAGCCTTCTTAGGCAAGACACATGTGTCATTCGGATCATTTCTCGTTTCAGCTTTAGAGGAGTTAATGAGTGATAGGAGTTGTATGTGTAACGTGTAAAATCGAATTTGGCCAACATTTCATACGAACAGATGTCTCCAAGAGTCTCCATTGGAAACTTGTCTGTCAGCATCGAATATCGTATGTGCATCTATTCTCAGGGGAATGGATGAAGACATTGACTAAGGCAGGACATAGATTCGCACATTGTATATCTCTAGGCTCGTTCAAATAACTCCCACGTTGGTCTGATGTACGAATTTATCTTGTAGTCCTATAATAACAGAAGTCTCGTACATAGATCTCGCATCTTACCAGGACTATTTTCAAAGGTATTATAGATGTACTATAGATACACTCACCGAGGCCACAAACATATCGCTTCTATGCTTATCTAATTTTACAGTTCTATGTACTGAATAATCCACGCTTTTATCGAAAATTATCCATTTACAGCATGTGTTGAAGTTGCCTTAGCTGAGTCCCATATTTGCTAAATGATTCAATACTAGCTTGGGATTCTTTGATTTAATAATTTGATCCAAAATAGTTTTGCACAACGCACGAGTTGAAAGTTTTATGAGTTATTTCTTACCCTTTCTGCTCCGGCTGCGTGCTTTGTCTCCTGTCAAAGATCCACTTCCTTCGACCATGACAGCATCATCATCGCTCAGTTGCTTACTCTTGCTATCTTTACATAAAGCCTCAGACTCGAGCTCCTTCATAAACTCTGCTTGAATGTGTTCGCGACGCTGTTCCCAAAATTCTTTTTCGCTATGGGCACGTAGTTGTATTTCATCGAGTTTAGATCTCATAGTCGTGTTTGCTGCCATTTCATTGGCAGACTGGAAGATAGTTTGCCCCCAGTTGGGTTGTAGTCCGTTTGCCTGGGCTTTTGTTAATGCAAATCATGCTGCCGCGAGCTTTATCTGACCTCTATTACTACATCACCTAGCTCTTCTTCCATTTCATTCTCGGTTCGCAAGAATCTCTGCCAAAGATCATCACCGACACTTCCTCTTTGGAGCAAAGAAGAGCATGCCTGCTTTGCGTTTCGGATTTGTATGATGCGATGGATATCTTCCAAGGCTCGTCTCAAGAGCGCTGCACGTTTAAGACTGTCGGGCACAACGAGTAATTTTCCGTCCTTGTTTTCAGGTTCAAGGTGAAGTAGCGATAGGTAGATATCACGTTGAATGTGAGGTGGAAACCAAGGCGCGAGCGATGCAGATGCAGCTGTTCGTAAATTAGCCAAAAGATTATGATGGAATGATTGTCCGACCTGCTTTACGCCTTCGATATACTGAAGAGAATGTAATCAAGGAACCTACAAGGACACATATGTATGCCAAAGGGACCGAGAGCCCAACCCAATCTATATGAAACATCTTGATTTTGACCAGATTTTGGGGTAAATATTTTGACGGTGTAGAAAGAGAAATTCCTGCAGAAAATTTTGCCTTAATTGCCCATTTAAATGACCACAATGCACTCAGGACACTGCTGTTGAAACGATACCAAGAGGTGGCCCTTAAGTTTGTTGGTGCGGGATTAAACTAATTCCGAGAGCCTTGCCAGTCATGCAGCATGTTGACAAGGTAGACCGCATTTATATCCTTGTTAGCTCAAACGTGCTTTTGGCTTTATTGAAATCAGTTTGTGACTCGGTAGCGTTAGATCTAAGAAATCACGCCCTTGTCGACCCCCAAAAAATTGGATTCACAGCTATCCAAATATTCCTAAAACAACACTACGAAACTTGTTAACAATAATGCTGCTCAGATTTAGAGGTCCAGATGGGACAGTACGCATCTCAATTGAGAGAGAAGATTCGATAGGAGATCTCGAGCACAAGGTCTAGTTAAACTTCCATACTATGTAAATGCTAACGACGCAATAGCTCTCCAAAGTTCTTCCCGACAGTGTCGATTTCAAAACTCTGAGAATCTCAAACAAGCCGACCGGTGGCGACACTAAGCTCCTGAGCGACTTATCTAAATTCAGAATCTCACAAATTGGTCTAGGGTAACTTTATACATTCGTCCAAACCTATCGTCACTAAGAACCATAGGCATGGTGACCTGATCTTCTTAACTTATCAAAAAACTAGTCTCCTTCAACCTGCTGACTCGAAGCTCACATCAACCTCAAATAGACTTAATGGAAGAACGACGGAGTACAAGGACGATTCTTCCAAGGCTTCCCTTTCGTCTACTTCACACACAGAAAGAGTGATCAATTCATGGGAAGTTGTACAGCAGTCTGCCCTGGATGATAGGTTAGACAAGAAGGATGGCAAGATACCCCGAAAGCGAGACCATAAAATGTGTAGGCATGGAGATAAAGGTATGTGTGACTATTGCATGCCTTTGGAACCTTTTGATTCAAACTATCTGGTCGAAAAAAATATTAAAAATTTGTCTTTTCATTCATATTTACGAAAAATAAACTCATCGACGAACAAGCCGGAGCTTGGGAGCTCATTTATGCCACCACTTTCAGAACCAAACTATCGAGTCAGCAAAAACTGTCCATCGGGACATCCTCAATGGCCAGAAGGTATCTGTACTAAATGTCAGCCAAGTGCGATCACACTACAACCGCAGTCCTTTCGTATGGTGGACCATGTTGAATTTGCAAACTCTAGTCTGATTGAAAACCTACTTAATTACTGGCGAACGAGTGGGGTTCAACGCCTCGGATATCTTTACGGTCGATATGTCGAATATACAGAAGTTCCTCTCGGTGTAAAAGCTGTAGTGGAAGCAATTTATGAGCCTCCACAAGTAGATGAAATCGACGGCATAACGCTGAATGAATGGGAAAATGAATATGGAGTCAACGAGGTGGCGAAATTATGTGGCCTCGAAATAATAGGAGTTATCTGGACAGATTTGCTTGATTCTGGTAAAGGGGACGGCACAGTTATCTGCAAAAGACACTTTGACTCGTACTATTTATCATCTCTCGAAATAGCATTTGCGGCGAGGCTTCAGGCAAAACATCCCAAACCAACAAAATGGAGCGACAGTGCAAGATTTGGCTCTAACTTTGTTTCTTGTGTGGTATCAGGGGATGAATCCGGTCAAATTGCCGTATCGGCCTATCAAGTCTCGAATTCAGCGGTAGAAATGGTGAGCGCGGATATTGTAGAGCCCTCTGCCAACCCTGGAATTATGCTGGTTAGAAGTGAAAGCGATAATGATCCACTCAGCAAGGCACGATATATCCCCGAAGTATTTTACCGACGAATTAATGAATATGGTCGGAGTGTTCAAGAAAATGCGAAGCCCTCGTTTCCTGTTGAGTATCTTCTAGTTACCCTAACTCACGGATTTCCCAGCATTCCTAACCCGCTCTTCACTGCGCATGGCCCTTGCTTTTCTATCGAGAACCGTACATTGCTTGGTGTGGAACAAAGTCTACAATCACTTTCTCAAAAACTAGGCGTGAAGAGTAATACTTCAATAGATGATGACACCAAAAATATTTCGGCTGTATCAGATTTCCATTTGCTCTGCTATTTACATGGATTTGGCTGGCTGAATAAGGTTTGCAGATTCCTAGAAGTGAAAGTATCTATATACAGAGCTAATTAGAAGGGTAGGAAGAGGAGGCATTGCTATGCCGTGTGGCAACAGCACACAATCCAGAGGATGAAGTTCGATTAAAAGGAACTATGGGCTGGAAAACTATGATAGCAATATTACAATCGACTGGTGAGCGACCCCCCAAAAGGCCATCACTGTCAGATAGTGGTGGCCCGAACTCCGAACGCCTTGCTAAGCGGATTGGCGGGGTAAGGCTAGAATAGGAAACCGTCATTTCACACATGCACGCCCCTCATAACTGTAGGGAAAAATCTGCCTGACAAGTAGGCCCGAAAGTGAAGAAAGCTTAACCTGGACCGGCGTGCACATAAATTAATGTCTGGTTAGGAATTGACGTGGCTATTTCGAAGGCCATGCTGGGGTAGCTAAAAGTTTTGAGGATTTAAAGCACGATACCTGGGTATTGGACATACAATTGCCTTCAAATAATCTCCAGGTGTAATTAAGTATTCCTTACTCGATTGGTTCATTTTTGTCGAGCTTGTTCGTTTTAGAGATGAAAATTTGATTAGTCTTCGACGGCAGAGAGTTGAGAACGTCACCTCACAAACTCAAGGATCCGGTCGACGTTCGTAACTGTAATATGGACGTATGTGCTCTCATTACCGCCGTTCTCTCAAAGAATTGGACTTGATAGCAGAAATAAAATTTTCTGTCAAAAAGGTCTTCTCATTCGATATAGCTTAGAGCTGAATTTCGGCTCAGATGTGCGAAACTAGTATAAGGTATGACTTTTCTTCACAAGGGTTTACCCTTCAGGTAGTCAGACCATCGACGGACTTCGTTAGGGATGCCTTCCGGGCGAGGAAGTTTCTTGCTCATACAGAGAGCAAAAAGCTCAGCAGTCTACAATTCATATGATTAGCCTGATGTACGAACTTTATAACTTTAAAAAAGAGTATGCATCTCTTACCCTGGGCTCCATGAAGAGCGGAACACCAAAGTCGACTGCGTTGCGACGCATCACGTAGTCTACGTCTAGAGTGGTCTTTGCTCGGGCTCTAGCTAGGTTGAAGACACCCCTGATATCGTAGTTTTGAAAAACTTCTCGAAGTGCTCGTTTGTCCTTGGTGGGGAATTCAATCACTTCGACACTGACGGGGTTTTTAGTATGTGAGTTGAGGAATTGCTGTACTTGGCGTTCAGCTGCATAGAGCTTGTAGCCTAGCGGTGCGATATAATCAACTATAGTAGCGAGGACGGGCTTTGTAATATCACCGCCGAAGAGAAGCCCCTCGCCAGGCTGTGGCACCCTAAAGCTCATAGTAGACTGAAGAGATGCCCAATAAGCTTCTATCAAATCTCTGCCGAAACAAGCAATCTCACCCGTAGAAGCCATCTCCACGCCTAAAAATGGGTCGGCACCTGCAAGACGAGTCCAAGAAAATTGCGGTACTTTAGTGGCCACATAGTCACGCTTGACCGACATGAGATCCATAGGCTCGGGAACGTTTTGACCGACGAGAGCTTTCGTTGCAACGTCAATAAAATTGAGACCAAGGACTTTGCTGACGAAAGGGAACGAGCGAGAGGCCCGTAGATTACACTCTATAACCTTAAGATCAGGAACATCACCATGAGGATTTTCGGTCTTAATTATCTGCATATTGAAAGGTCCGGTTATTTGCCATGCATCAGCCACTTTGGCGGCGATCTCCTTAACACGACCCATCGTGGTGTCGTCTAGGTAGACAGGAGGAAGTACCAGAGTCGCGTCCCCTGAGTGAACGCCAGCTTGTTCAACGTGCTCACTAACTGCGTGGGTAATAAGCTTGCCGTTGTGTCCTACTGCATCGACGTCGATTTCTTCGGCGCCCTCAATAAACTTTGTAATTACTACAGGATGATCGGGAGAAACTTTACTTGCAGCTTCGAGTTTATTTTTGAGCTCATCTTTACTATGTATTACAGTCATGGCTGCTCCGGAAAGAACATAGCTGGGTCGTACAAGAACAGGAAATCCTACTTCATTGGCAAATGCCTCAGCTTCCGCACATGATGTTAGCTCTTTCCAAGCGGGCTGATCTATACCAACACTGTCGAGGATCTCGGAAAATTTCTGACGGTCTTCTGCCTTATCAATATTTTTGGGGTCAGTGCCAAGAACACGTGCCTTTCCAGTTTCCTGAAGTCGGAGAGCAATGTTTTGGGGAAGTTGGCCACCAACAGAGACGACTACACCACTAGCTGCTTCGAGTTCGTAGATATCCATCACCCTTTCATAGCTTAGCTCTTCAAAATATAGTTTATCAGCTGTATCGAAATCCGTGGAGTAAGTTTCAGGATTATAGTTAATCATAACTGTCTTTTTATTCATTTCTTTTAGCGCCAATGTTGCACTTACTGCACACCAATCGAACTCTACTGAGCTACCGATTCGATAGACCCCACTGCCAAGAATAATGATTCCGTGATCATCAAAAGAGACATCGTGGGTGGTGGCATTATAGGTAGTGTATAAGTAGTTTGTGGACGCAGGAAATTCAGCGGCTAGAGTGTCAATTCTTTTCACAAATGGTGTGATGCCAAATTTTTTCCTACGATCTCGAACTTCATCCTCCGTGCTATGGACTGCTAAAGCGATTTGCTGGTCAGAAAATCCTAGCTTTTTGGCTTTCATCATGAGATCCTTTTTAACATTGGTCAAGTTTCCAAGATTTTCAAGTTCGTGGGAGCAATTAACAATGTTCTCAAGCTTATGTAGAAACCATTTATCGATTTTGCTGAGATTATGGATGCGATCAATAGAGTAGCCCTCGTGCAGCATGGCCTGACCTACGGCTAGCCACCGACGATCGGTTGGATTTGCGAGCTCATAATCTAAATCTTCAAATTTATCGCCTTGGAATCCAACAAATCGAGGATCAACTTGTCGAATGGCTTTCTGGATTGATTCTTCAAATGTACGGCCAATTGCCATAACCTCACCCACTGATTTCATAGCACTACCTATTTCGTGCTTGACATGCTGAAATTTAGATAGATCCCATCGAGGTATTTTGGTGACGACATAATCAAGGGAAGGCTCAAAATTTGCTGTAGTTGTCTTGGTAACTGCGTTGGGCAGTTCAGGAAGCGTGTGACCGAGTCCAATCTTAGCTGCGGTGTATGCCAAGGGATATCCTGTAGCCTTAGAAGCAAGCGCTGAGGAACGAGAGAGGCGAGCGTTGACCTCTATTACGCGATAGTCCAGACCATCTGGCTGCAGCGCATATTGGACATTACACTCGCCTACAACACCTAGATGACGAACGATTTTAATTGCAGCAGAGCGAAGCATGTGATATTCCTCATCACTTAGAGTTTGACTGGGAGCCACTACAATTGAATCACCAGTGTGGATTCCCAGGGGATCGAAATTTTCCATATTACAGACCGTAATACAATTATTGCTGGCATCTCGTACGACTTCATATTCTACCTCTTTCCAACCCTTGAGAGACTTCTCAATCAAAATCTGAGGAGATAGTGTGAGTGACCTTGCTGACATATTTCGTAATTCTTCTTCATTATTAGCGAAGCCTGAGCCAAGGCCTCCCAAGGCATAGGCTGCTCTAACAATGATAGGATATCCGATTCCACTGGCCGCTTTTATGGCCTCATCAACGGTGCTAACTGCTATAGATTGGGCGATGGGTATATTTATCTGCCCGAGGGCTTTTGCGAATAGATCTCGATCTTCACTGGTCTCTAAGGTCTTAATACTTGTACCTAAGACTTTTACTCCGTAACGCTCAAATACTCCCATTCGATCCATCTGTACACCAAGATTTAGTGCTGTCTGACCACCAAAAGTGAGAAATATGCCGTCAGGTCTTTCACGTTCGATAACGTATGTGACATATTCTGGTGTAACTGGAAGGTAGTAGACCTCATCACTAAGAACATGGGCGGTTTGTATTGTGGCGATATTTGGATTTATTAGAACTGAGGAAACACCGGCTTCTTTCAGGGCTTTAAGAGCTTGAGAACCTACGAAAAAGTAAGAACTCATGCAATTGAAGCGGGGTTTGTGGCCGAGGACTTGCCTGAATAGTCGAATTCTCCCGCTTGACCAATACTTAGACCCCCACTACCAATTACCAAGACTTTTTTAACGTTGACAGGATTTTTTGCGCTTTTTATAAACCCCCTTTCAAAATATGTTTTAGCGTCTGGGGCACTTTGCGAATGTACTCTACAGAAACTAGAGAATTTCTGCTTGTGACTGGAGGCCTTCACTAACTCTTTCTTAAAAAAAAATGGTTTTGCCGCGTTTCGAGTAGTGAAATGTCTTCTGGATAGTCCTCCGCCAATGAGACTTACCCGACGGTACATGAGAGAGTTTGAACTGCTTGGAAAGTGGCTAGATAGAGCCATAGCATGTATTAGGACTTCAGTCAAATGCGAAAGTTTTACTTGAAGAGTGACGGTCACACGGGGCTCAATTGGGCCTGGTGTTGATTAGGATATATTTTCATTTATCACTGAGGCCGCTGTACTGTTAGGGCAAGACTAGCATACAGAGATAGTAACTCGGTTAGTGTCAACTAGGCTGGTGTTAGATTACAGAAATTATTTATTTATTTCCTTTTGATAACATTCGAGCGACAGCAAATACCCCACCACACTTGTGCGATACACACTCTAAAGAACCTTTGATAGCCAACGCTACCTACTATGACCGGTAGCAATTTAAAAACTTTGATGAACCATCAGCTGTGTACACTTACCATTGATCCAAGGACCAAACCTGAAATTTCATACACTGTTTCTCACCACAAACTTTGAAGTAGAAAATTAACCAGAGTCAGGTTAGATCAATTTTCTGCGCACCTATGAAGTTAGCGCACAATGTAATGGTTCACGACTCTTAGCCATATCAATCACTCACTTTCAACGAGATCGAAATCGAAATCCACCATTGCCTCACAAAGCATGCGAGAAAAAAATCTGAAGACCTAACATCTGTCGGTGGTATTCTCTACGAATCTTAAGGGTAAATTATCCTCCCAGAACTGAAATTCAGTAACTACAACAGATGAATTTTAGAGTTCTCTTCGAGAAGGCGATCGGAAGGAATAGCGTTGGCAAGTAATTGGTCGATAATCTGATCTGCAAAGATCTTATTACCACATAACCCACTCAGGCATGACATCTACACCCCAAAAACGAAACACAGAAACTTTTAAACCTATCTGATGGTACTAACAAAATAGCTAAT